GAGGGTCCCTAGCCTGGCGCCGCGCCCTCTCCCGCCGCGGGCGTCCCTCTGGAGCCGCTCAGATCCCTCCTGGTTCCCGACCCTCCCTCCCCGCTCATGCCTCACACCCCTCCAGCCACCGAGATCCGTGCTCTGGGCAAAGATCGTCCCTGTTGTCTAAGAGCTTGAGGCCCGCACCCACCCAACCTTGGTTCCGGGGTGGCTAAGCCTGGGCTTTCCCCAGGGGGCTGGGCCCTGCGGTCAGGCCTTGGCAGCCCCCACACCCCCTGGGGCCTTGTGAGGCGGGCATAAGCCAGGACTCTGCTGTGAGCCCCTGGTCTGCACCTGGCCATGCTGGAGGGAGGGTGCAGGGTTCCGAGTTGGGACTTGGGGCAGCCCGGCACCAGCGCCAGTTCCTGGGAAGTCCTGGTGGCCCTGAGCCTGCTTCACCACAGAGCCGGCTCTCACAGTTACCAATGTTTGTTGGTGGTGTGTTAGGGTGGACGCTCTGGGACCCAGGGAGTCTCAGTACTCACTGCCTGGGCCTTGCCCCTCACACTCTGGTCCTGCACCTCTATGTACCTCCTCCTGCAGGAAGCCCTCCTAGCTAGATGGGACCTTCCCAACTGTGCTAGGGTTGTTTGGCAGATTTGAGGGGGGTCCCTGAGCTCAAGAGCCTCGGAGCTTCCTGCCACGTCATTGGGCTCCTCTTCCCAGCAACTTGAAAAGGACAGAAGGTGTCTATCTGTGCTCTGGGCCTGAGGTGGGGGCAGCACTGAGGGTGAAACGCAGCCCCAAAGCTAGTAGAAGGTTCTGGGGCTCAGAGGGCTCTCTGGGCCTGTGCCTTCCCTGAGGAGCTCCCCCTTTCATGTCTAAGTTCAGCCCCTATGCCCCCCACATCCCTAGGGCCAGGCCCTGTGGAGACGGGAGAGCATGGCCCCTGGGGGAGGGGGCCTTTCAGCCTGACCCCATGTCCAGCCGTTACCCCACATAGAGGGGAGGTGCACCCAAGAGTCGGAGAGCTGGACAGCTTGGGTGGGGGATGTCCTGCCTCTGCTCTGAGGTGAGGGCCCCGAGGAGCGCAGAGGCAGCATGGGCCCTGTTGGGCCCACTAGTTGTGTTTTGTGGCATGTCAGCTTTTAGGAATTCTGAGAAGATTGAGGATAAGCAGGTGGTGTTGTCAGATCTCAGCCTCTCACCTCCTCACACCGGACCTATGGGTGGGGAGCCCATCTCCATCTGAGGGGTAGGGGGAGGCTTGAGGTCTGGCCTAAGGCTCCTTGTCCCAGGAGGGGAGGGAAGTTACAGAGAAAAACAAGGGTTTGGAATGCAAGCCTCCCCCTCCCCCGCCGGCCGCCTGCCAAGAAGGAATTATTTTGGATTATCCAGACGGGTCCAGCCACCCAAGAGGGGAGGCTACAGCCGTGGGAGAGAGATCCACTTCCGGGGCCGTGGGCTGAGAGCCCCAGAGGGAGGGACAGGCAAGTCTGGGCAGCTCCACCGCCTCCCGCGGCTGCTCAGACCGGTCGGGGGCGGGGTGGGAGGGATGCGTCACTCTTGGGTTGGAGAACGCCCCAGGTCGGCCCCAGCAGGCCCAGCCAGGCGAGCCTGGGGTGGGCCCAGGCCCTTCTCGGGGAGGCAGTGGGGCACAAGGAGTCCTGGACCCTGTTCTCCTGCCCGGGGCAGGGGCCCAGCCAGGAAACCCCCGTCCCCACCGGAGGCTTAGACCCTGTGGCCCCAGGCCCCTGAGGCAACTCTCCAGAGCTGGTTCATGGACACACCTTGGGCAGGTTACTCACAGTGCTTCCCTGGGGTAATGGGAGCAGGCAGGGGTGTGACTTAGGCTGCTTCGAGTGGGTGGGGCACTGGGGTCTCCCTGGGGCTGAACCTTAGGCCACCCTCCTGCCTCTTGACTGACACACAGCTCCCCTTAGAGAGCCCAGCCCTCGCCCCCAGATACCCACCCCACTTGGATGTGGCACCTGTCAGCCCATCCCACAGATGAGCAATCCCGCGGGTGAGGGCCCCGAGGCCAGAGGTGGGTCCCTGCAAGGAGTTATCTGGGATGCTG